TTTTTTGTTATTATTGATTATTTGGTTAGAGTGCTACCTTTTTTCTATTTTTGTCACATTTTAAAATGCACCACAACACAGCAAGAAAATGTGGTACAGAAAGTAGTTTTTTTGGCAAATTAGCATCCATGTTATTCTATAAAATCCCACTAGGTGGCACAAGCTGCATGTTTTTCTACCTAGAAAAGTGCAAAGTTCTGCAGCACCAACATCTGGGTTACATTATGTTCTACTTCCTGCCTCCATTCAAAACAAACCATTCTACATCACATCCATGAACACAAGATTATTATGAAATGTCCTAAATTATTTGGATTACGAGAGCCATATGAATTGTTTTACTTGATGAAACAACCATCCCAGCGGTGAGCATAGGAATTACTTTAGACTGTATTTTCCATTACTAAACAGCAATTTACTGGTAATTCTGCCTACAAGGACAAAACTCCCAAATATTGAAAAATCTGTCTTAATTTATTCTAGCTTCAGATTTCCATCAACGACCTCTTTTGTGGTGAACTGACAATCTGCAAGCAACTTAGAGCTCTGCTATTAAAATTCCTGGTAGACTAGCAGTGCATTGTGTATTTCAGTCATGTCTGCACAGTGCTGAACCATTTCCAGCCAACCTTCTCTCAAATCTTTTTATCTTCCATCTTTTTTTTTTTCTACATGCTTATGAATTCACATCTCCTACATTGTATTCTATCCACTGTGAAGCCTGGTAGATAGGCTAGTCAAGTGTCTGGGGAAAACAGCAATATATCAGAAAGACACTTCACAAATTACGGTGAGATTAACACACTGTTTCATTAATTTTTATTTTGAGGAGACACTCTTTTTACAGCACTGTAGGCTCTTCTGAGAGCTATAGATGCCCAATTTAAAGGAAATCTTTAGTGCAGGCATACGATATAAAAATGCTGGTTGATAGGAGGATCCATACGTACCTCCAATTTGGGAGTCCAGCTCCATAGTATAATGCTGGAGTCCCCTGAAAAGCCTACATTTCTGGGTGTGAGGTGAATAGGCACAGTCCCTCCTGCTGCCTACAATTAAATGCCCGCTGGCAAACCAAGCCTGAGCTTTACCACATGGGAAGCATACTTATGCAGATGAAAATACAGACCTTTATGGTAGCTCTAGTAGCTCTGAAGAGCCAGGCTGTTCCAGGACACATATGATGCCAGCTAAAGCCTTAATACATATTATATGCTCACAGTACAGCTGTTAAAGGTAGCAATCATGCACTAGGATGGTGAACTGGTCTTTTGGACAGAAGATCCTGACAACGTGGGATAGCCCACAGAGCATCTGCTAGGAGTCTGATCATCTGCCTAGGCCAGGGGTCTCCAAACTCCAAAAAAGGGCCAGTTTATAGTCCTTGAGATTTAAGGGGAGGGCAGGATTGTGGTTAGTGGGAGTAGAAAATGGCCTGGTATAAGTAGGAGCAAACAATGCCCCATTGTTGGTGTTAGTGGGAGGAATAATGCCCCATTGTTGGTGTCAATTGGAGGAATTGTGTCCCATCATTGGTTTCATTGGGAGGAACTGTGTCCCATTGTAGGTGTCATTGGGAGGAATTGTGTCCCATAGTTAGTGTTTAGTGTCAGTGGGAGGAATTGTGTCCCATAGTTAGTGTCAGTGGGAGGAATTGTGTCCCATTATCGATGTCATTGGGAGGAATTGTGTCCCATTGTAGGTGTCATTGGGAGGAATTGTGTCCCATTGTAGGTGTCAGTGGGAGAAATTGTGCCCCATAGTTAGTGTAAGTGGGAGGAATTGTGTCCCATTATCGATGTCATTGGGAGGAATTGTGTCCCATTGTAGGTGTCATTGGGAGGAATTGTGTCCCATTGTAGGTGTCAGTGGGAGAAATTGTGCCCCATAGTTTGTGTCAGTGAGAGGAATTGTGTCCCATTACTGGTGTCATTGGGAGGAATTGTGCCTCATCGTTGGTGCCACTGGGAATAATTGAGCCCCTTTGTTGGTGTCAGTTGGAGGAATTATGCCCCTTTGTTGGTGTCAGTGGATGGAATAGTGCCCAATGAAAGAAAGCAAAGGGCAGCAGTCTGAAGACCACTGGCCTAGGCCAATCTGGAGCTATGAGTATCACTGGAATGCCCTTCATCTCAGGGAAGGAGCGGCAAGGGGAAAAAAAAGCATAGCATCTAGTTGTACTGAATCCACAAAGCCACTGCTTCTGCCAGAGGATCTCTGTATCTGGAGACAAACAGCTTGTGTTTGAACCTGGAAACCTGGAGGTCTTGATCAAGCTTCCCTCACCTATGACACAGGTCCTTTAACACCTCTGGGTGTATTCTCCCAGATCCAGACACTGACAGCTGAGAGAGTTTGCCTGACAACTGTTCAGCCCTGGGATGTAGACAGCAGCCAAAACATGAATCTCTGCTCAATAGAGAATCCTTTCTCTTGTTGCAGCAAGACTTCTGGTTCCCCCTGATGACTGATGTACACTCCTGTGGCATCTGACTGGATCCTGTTCAGATGGCCCTCAAGTCAGGATGACCAGTGATATAGGGACAACCAAACGCTCAGAGCTCCAGAATGTCAACCAAGTCCCCTACAAAAACAGTGTCTAGGACTTTTCAACAGCCCATCATGCTGGCAACTGTTTGTAGCTTCCAAGAGATTTGGAAAAAGATTACCCCAACTCCAGAACTAAATTCCAGAAACCTTAGAAAAGACTAACATCAGCCCCAGGACCCTCATGTAGAAGGAAAAAGATGTTCAGTTTCTGGACTGAAGAGTCTAACCTGGGAGCAGAAACTCTGACGTTTCTTTTGGGAAAGAAAAACTCGGGCTTGAGTGTCTAGGATAAGACCAAGATATTTGGAAAAAATGAGTCAGTCTAATGCTGACTTCTGAAGGTTCAGGATCCAACTGAGCCTTTTTCAAGGTCTGAACTATCCACATCATGTTGTCATCCAGAATCTGTGTTGACTGCTCCCTCAACAGGTTGTTTTAATATCCCAAATGTCCTGGTAGCATAGCAATCCCTGATATCCACAGAAGCCACAAGTCTTCATGATGCAGGAGGCTATGACAGACCTGGTGTATTCTAAGCAGATTTGTTGGCCCAAATAAAGACAAGTAGAACCTTCGAGATCCAAAATTGGCATATGTTCTCTTTGTTGGGGTGCAACAGTGCTAAAGGGACCTGTTACAGTGGGGCTGCTACCTGCATGTTTGCGGGTACAAAATGTTGTGCTACAAGGCAGGAACATCAGAGCTCATGGTACAAGGAAAAGCCTTGAATACTCACAAACCTGGTATGTAGAGGAGGTTTAGATGGTCATAGATTATAAGGTCACTCTAAGCAGACAGAAAAGACCAACTGAGAAAGATCCACATACCACTTGTGATAAGAAGGAGAGGTGGGAAAGTGTTACTGATAGCTTTACTATAGGTGAACGGAAAACACTATGAACGGAGGAAAGGCCGATGAATGAAAGTCCACCTCTGCCATTCATAGATCACGTTTCATTGATGGATGCTGTAGTACAGCCTCTTTGAATGGAGGAGGAGGGGCAGAAAGGGTGGAAATAGTGGGCACTCTTGACAAGTGCTTGTGACAGATCCCTTGGCTTTTATTAACCCTCATAGAACCATGAGATTATGGCTAGGGGGATAGAGGGGGATCAGAGGACTTTGGATTTCAACTAAAAGCAGCAGCCAGTGGTACAAGTAACACTTTGCATTGAATGTAAGTACTTCATCTTGTACTGATCAAAAAAAAAAAAAAGTGTTTGAATAAACGAATGGCCTAAATTCAGCTGTCTATATAGTATTTCGCTGAAGACCGGTTCACACTATAGAAACACAGTCCAGGTGCGTTCCGGATGTGTTCCAGGGCGGTTTTTATGCATTCCAGTTAATTTTTACCCCTCTCTTTTTCTTCACCTTGAACAGGGACATGTGCGTTCCAGTGCATTTTTGCTGTGTTCCAGTACAGTTCTGTGCAGAAAAAATGCAGCATGTTCTACTTGTGTTCAATCAGCACATGCAGCCAATAGACTACAGCACTGGCGGAAGAGTCCTGCTGTCAGAATACAATAGGGCAGCAGGAAGGATTTCCCCATCCACTTCGAATGTGTGGATGGAACAATTCTTTTAGTTTTTTTTTGATCAGCACATTGGCTGATCAAAAAATCTATGAATCTATGGTCAGTCTAACTCTCTAATCCTTAGATTAAAGAGTTATCCTTAGAAATACTTCCACTCCCCTATTTTACCTTTATTGAAATCGCAGTTTCTGGTATCCAGTATTTAAAAAAAAAATAACCCCAGGGTATTCCGGCTCATCCCTGCAAAAAGTTAGGACGGATGGTACCTTTGATTTTTGTAAAAAGGATGATATCGCCACCTTCCATTATTCTCTGTTCCCCCATTGCCTCTCCAGCTGTGATCATGTTATCCCCACCTCTGATCACAGGGACAAGTGTGGAGTTGCTCAGGCTCTCCCTCTCCATCACAGCAGTGCTAAGATCACAGGGGAAGAGAAAGAAATCACTTCCTGTATGAGTAAGAGTGTGTTCCCATGACTCCACTGTCCTTCCCTCCCTTTCTGTGCAGGCATAGTAATAATGCATTGAATTTTGGGACATGAAGTTTCATATCAGGGCACTAAACTACATTGCCAGATAACTTAGAGTCAGGAAAAGCAGCTTCAAAATATATATTTTTTTAAATTTAGCCCAAAAATGCAGGATAACACAACACGGAAAAGCTCGTTTTTATAACAAAAACAAATGTGCACAGAAGTATTGTCTTGTATTTTAGGCATACCAGGTGCCAAAATTAGTTTTTACGCTACAAAGGTGAACTAACCCCTTAAATGTGATCATACAGCCAAGCACAAGGATTGGACACAGAGAATAATTGCAGTAAAGAATTTCACAAACTGACCAGTTGTGTATGCTGCCCAAAAAACACTTGGTACGTGCAATACATAACACTGCAAACATTGTCTGACTTACCCGCGGCTTCACTGGACATAGTTTTTGACTTCTTTTGTGCTTCTTGCAGCGGCGGATAGGATCTGCCCTCTGCGGTTTCATCCCCTTGTATTGCGGTTAGATCATGCATACTGAAGCTTCGTAGGCGTTCTGTAATGGCCCCCTGGCTCTGGGCAAATATAGGGGTATGATTTAGAACACATTGGAAATATCTGTGTGTTTTCATTTGTATTTGGCAGAGGTAAAAAAAAAAAACTAGAGACAAGGACAAAACCATTAAATATTTCCACTACACAGGCAGAGTGTTTCTATTTCATAGAACATTGTATTCCTGACACTTGGAAGGCATGGTAAACAAGTGGGAAGATGTGTTGTTATACTGAAGTCATGGAAATTAAAACTGAAATTCAGCTGCGTCTCCTTCCATCGCAGTGTTCCTAAGGCTCCATTCGCATCGCCATTTAACTATACTGCGAATCCCAGCAACAAGAATCTACTGAGTCCTGTGGCTGGGACTGACAGCTGTGTGTGGCCGCCGAGCCAATACAGTGCGATGATATAATGGGCTGTCGGCACCACAGCTCTTGAAGACTGATCACACAACCAGTGATTACCTGTAGTGATCGTGGATGGATGCACAGCGATCTGCACAATGCTGTCAATCCCAGACACAGCAACCAGTAGATTCTTCCCAATGGAATTTGCAGCTCAGTTAAAGGCCCACGTGAATGGAGTCTTACTAATGCAAACAACCACTGGTCACATGGTCACATAGGATGAGCACCTACTGTACATACCTTGTTTTACATACCTGATGTAGACCCTAAATAAAGGAAAACTTTGTTTTGATTGATCCATTCATGTTTACTTTGCTGATGCAACTTTCACATTTCATGTGCTTGCAGTGCTACACTTTGATTACTTTACTAAAGAGTAACTCCACTTTTGTTGAGAAAAAAAAACATTCCCCTCTGGGCGATCTGTGTACATTGCAAGGATTTTAACAAACTTTGTTGCAGATTCCTACCTTTTGTTATTACTAAAAAACAAAGGTCATTTTTAGTAACATTCAATTACAGTATGGTTTGTGTTGTAATTGCATATGGTATATTTTTTTATAATTATTTGCTATTTTTTTCTATGAACGTGAAGTTACCCTTTAAAGCTGAACTCTAGCCAAGCAGCTAAAAAATACCGAAGAATTTGTATTTGTTATCATTTCTTAAATTCACATTGCTCTGTCACACAACACAGCACTGTCCGGTAGGGAAGATGATCTGATTTATCTCTGCTTAAGTTAAGTAACTCTTATCTTACAAATCCCTACCTTACTTATGATTGGACAGTTAAAGGAGAAGAATCATACTGATAAGCTCACCTGTCACTCTGCTCTCTTCTACTACCAGCATGTTGTTAGTACACGAATACTGCAGCACAACTCGTACTGCTTCTCCCTCTCCAAATGCTGGACAGAAGATGGAAGGAGGTTGATACCAGGTCAAATTCAGGTACTTACACGGTTTATAAAAAATGTCTTTTTTATCTATATGGAGTTTCAGCTTTCAGTCTCCAAGCAGACTCAATGGGGTGTTAAACCCAAAAACAAAAATGTGATATATTGTAACTTACCAATCATTAATGGCTACATTAGTTTTCTTTTTTAAGGTTTTTTTCCCACTGTTTTCACCTGGTGATTCTGCCAGTAACACATCTACTGTATGAGAGTGCCAACATTCTGGACGAAGGAGCACAGGGACACCTTTGGACAGCAGTATTGTCAGCCTTGGGGGAGGGGTGAGTTAGGTGTACTATCAGATTTAGATACACTAAAATTGAAGCCAAACTGCAGCTCACATGCAGTTCCAGCAAAAGTTGTATAAATTGTGATGGCAACATGGCATTATTACATCTGATGAATCTCAAAATTGGATGTAATTTATATATCATGAGTTCTCCAGCTCAGACTAGTTATTATTATCCTCATTCCAATTAATGCTCCCAGTGATAGGTAGCACTGGGTATGAAGCACAAACAAATTAAGCTAAATTATTCATTTGCATTCTTATCAGTTCTCAAACCACAGCACCATGCCACCCTACATTCAGTGACAGATGCAGATGGAACAAGAGGAAAATGCGGCAGGATCTATAATATATTTAAAGTGGCGCTACCGACCACAGGGAATAAGAATGTCTCACTTTTGCAAAACTATACAGAATATTTAACAACAAACTTTAAAAGAGCCTCGGAGGGCAGCTGTTTTGTTTTCCATTTATTGCCATGTTTACTAAGGGAATTATTCATCTAAAAGATGCCCCTTGGCAACTTGCACATACAGATCTGAATCCACAACTTTGAGAAGTAATGCAAACAGTGGCGTTTCTGCTGTGTGATCATTATTACCTTTTGTAATAAAAGTTGGCAGAGCTAGTCGTTTCCCAGAAACCACTAAAGGCATCACCTTTAGCATTATTCTTATTAACAACTTTTCTTTATTTGCCATCAAATTAAAGTGATTACACTGAGAATTCTTTGTTCTCTACTCAGTCAGACAGCATATCTGTCTTTGATTAAAGGACTATTGTTCTGTTCTACTCTCTACTATAAAGCCTTTGTCCTGTCGCTTTTTGTTTTTTTTTAATTTTGACAAGAACGCTACAAGCAAAGACGCCCCATGCTCAAGCCCTTCTATGTATAACACAAAATTAAGGACAAAATCAAGACAAATATAAAAGACAAAAATTAATACTTCATTGAATGTGTTTTTTCAATGCAAGTAGTTTAAAGTAATTCTAAAGGTAAAATGTTTATTTTTGAAAAATAATAAATATGTCATACTTACCTTACCATACTTACCAAGACCATTGCACAGAGCATCCCCGATCCTCCTCTTCTTGGGTCCCCCGTTGGCACTCCTAGCCCTGCTCTCTGCTTGCTCTGGGGAGACTCCTGAGCTGCGCTCTATGTCCATTGACAAATAGACAGCAGGTTGGTGCTGCCCCCCGCTCCCTCCTCACTGGCTGTGATTAACAGCAGCAGGAGCCAATGGCCCCTCCTGCTATCTCTGAGCCAATGAGGAAAGAGAGAGCCTTGTCTTTTGTGCACAATGCTGGATCGAGGTCGTGCTCAGATAAGTATGGGTATAAAGGGGTGGGGGAATGGGAGGGAGCTAACAGTCTTTTGTGTCCTTTACCTTGTGAAGCCAGCAATACTCACCTTAATCCACCATCCAGGTCCCTTACTGCTGCCAGTTCCAGTATGGGGGACAACTAATCCACCACTGCAATGGCCCCCCTCAGACCACCATTCCCCTACTATCTTGCTGTAATGACTCTGGTCCTCTTCTCTGTCCTGGGAGGCCTACACTGGCGGTCATACAATAGGAAGTGTCCATGTCATGCAGAATAGGAGAGGACTGGAGGCATCAAATGAACACGGTTTAAAGTAAAAACAGGCATTTAGATATGGATTTTTTTTTTTATTTGTGCAATTACATAGAGGGGCTTCAGGAAGGAAGTGGGGGAGAATTTTTAGTACATATCTTTGGTCTTATATTAGCCTTATTTAATCTCCTGTACAGCAGAGCTCAGACTGGAAAAAAGAGAAGCAACACTATAGAGCCAACCAGTTGTGCAGCAGTGCTCATGTGCCAGCCAGATAGAAGAAGGCAGAGTGACAGAGAGATGAAATAATCCAGTTCGGTCACTGGGAGAGGGACAAAACCTGTAAATGTTATTGACCTGTAGTAGTGAAAAATCAGGCCTCCTGTCCTGCTGTGTCCTATGGCAGAGCTTTGTAAATCTCAAAACTGGATGGACAGATATACAAATCCTTTGGCACATAAAACATTTCCCATAAAAGTACTTTAAAACATTTACACAGTGAAAATACGTCATTGATACCACACTGCGCCCATTATTTAAAAAAAAATGTCATGGACCATCAATAAGTAAGCAGTAATTATTATACAACAGAAAAAGAGTCAAGCTGCTGAATGGAAAGCAGCTTAGTTATTTTTCAATCTTAGGCTCAGCCGTTATATATTCAATTAATTAAGCATTTGCGGGAGAGGTAGAAAACAACCGCCTGCTTCAGACATTTTCTGTCCAATTCCTGTAATTTACAAAGTGAGTCATTTTCTAATTGCAAGGTGACTTTGTTCTGCATTTTACACACTTCACTATAGTAGCACTTAAGGGAAATCCTGTATTATCATCAATCTGAGTAGTGCAAATGGGGTATTATTTTCATCTTCATAATTTATTGACTGTACATTATGATAAATCTACCTATAGATAGGTATTCTCTAACCGAATCAAGGATATATCCAGCTCTGATACGAGCCAAACAGCTGTGTCCCTCAGCTAGATTCAAGGTGCAAGTACCAGTGCTGTTACTGCCCCCCTTATTGCCTTGCCAATAAGGTACCACATTTAGCCATGGCCTTTAAAAGAAACTTCTTATAGAAATTAGGGGCTGTGACCGATTATCCCATTCTGGAAATGCTGGTTTCCTGGTTATAATCCTGATTCTCCAGCATCAATGAATCACTGATCTGAAACATTTATGCAGATCAGGTATTCAAAATTGCATTGACTGTCTCTGGTCAGTGAATTCAAAGGATGTCAGGCAAGCAGCGCTTTCAAAAGAAGGGCACACCACATGCCTGGCCCAAAATGTTTTTAATGTAACAACAGTGCTTAAATGCAGAAACCTTGTTGTGCATCAAAACTGTCCCTGCAGGTAAAATCTGCGCATTTTTCCATCCGTTATTCTGCATGTATGGTGTGAACGAGGCCTTACAGAGGGAGCCTAAGCCTCGGATCACACTAGTGTAGGTGGAAGCCACTGCAGGACCCTTACTTTGTCCCACAGCTGCAACAACCCAAGCACAAAACGCGGATCCCACGGGTAGGTGCCATTAATCTTAATGACATGCACCCAGCTCAGGAAATTGCACCTGCACTGGGCTGCTATTTCTGCAAAGGTACAGGGACCTTTTCCCTGTGTCTTGCAAGGTACAGCAGCCCATTCAAATGAATGGGCTGCCATACCGTGGCCGGAAAAATGCACTAGTGTGAACAGAGGCTAAGTCTCTACTGTTCACAGAAGTTCTGTCACTTGGCAGCTGAATGACAGATGGTGTTATTTTAGTGCTAATTACTTAGTGGGGTTCAGGTTAGGAACCATTCACACTTGTGTTTGCAATTACCTGGGGAGACTCATCGGGGGTTCACTGCGATTTGCTGCGGGAGGGAAGTACCTGCAGCTGTTCAAGGCCATTTGCATGTAATCACTCATGCAGGTCCAGGGCCAAACGTTCAAAGGTAATCATTGCATGAGTGATTACATGCAAAGATTTACGAATAACTGTGGGCATTGTCAGACTCTCATTGCTTTTAAAAGGGCTTCCAACCGCAGCTAAGTCTCTGATGGGTAATAACAAATGGCATCATTCACAAGTGTGAATGAGGCCTTCATCTCATCTGGGGCAGAAGTCAATGCCGTATATAGAATATGAAACTTGAATCCAAGGGGGATCCTCATAAACACAGGAGCTGATTTTTAATCCTACGTTTGGGATTTTTTCTTAAAATCAGTACAAGGGATGATACTTATATTCAATAGGAAGTGTCCCTTCTGCTGGTGGCTGCTGTGTCTTAGTTGAAATCTAATGTCCCCCATAATCTTCCAGTGCTGTGGGGGTTAATACAGCCACTGGACCTGTCATAAGCACTCATCACTAGTGTTGACTATTCACACCCTTTCCACACCTCTCCTTCACTTAAAAAAAGCTGTACAATAGCTTCTAGCAATAACAGTCAATTTATGAATGGAGGAGGGAGACCATTCATTTACCAGCCCTCCATTCATATAGAGCTTTTTATTGCTGGAAGATATAGTACAGCTTCTATGAATGGAGGAGGGGGTGGAAAGGGCAGTTACAGTCGGTACTCTTGGCAAGTGTATTAACCCCTGCACCAGTATTCATCCGGTGCTGAGGGGTTGGAGTGCAGGATTGAAGATTTCAACTAAGAGAGCAGCCACCAGCACAAGGGACACTTCTCAATGAATGTAACTACCACCCCTTGTGCTGATTTAAAAAAAATAATAAACTTAAGTTTTAAGTATAAAGCAGGCCAAAGAAATCCTTAGCTACAGCACAGACGTTACCGCAGAAAAGTTTTAGACCAAGTCATGCTTACTTCGTTCTGCACTCCTGTGACCTGTTTAATTCCTACTGTCGGTTGATGTCACTCAGCAGATCCAGACAGAGGAAAGATCCTAACTGTAAAGACTAGCAACTGGCCTAGTTCCCTCTCCTGTTCTGGAGGAGCACGGCAGAGACAGAGACTGGCAGTCACTGCTCTCTGCTTAGAACGTAGGGAAGAACTGAGTGATCAGTGGTTTTTGATCGCTCAGTTCTAAGTGCAGAGGTGGCAGGGGACAGTTGCAGCATCAGATTGATTCCACCTAGGTTTTTTTTTTTTTTTTTTTAAACTTCTCTTTTAATAAGCAGGTAAGGGGCAGAGTTCATTAGCTGACAAATCCCACATGCAAAAGTAATATTACACTGCACTTTAGCTTTGTATAAAGGGAGATTTTCCAAACTTTAAAGACAAAATCTATATATATTTTTCTGAACCACAAGAGAACATTTATTGGTGCACATAGTACTCCATTTCACTGGAGGTTTGCAAACGCATCAAGCAAACAGGTGACCAAGCAAATGACATTGCGAAGAATTTTAAACATTGATTAGCTGCAATCCTTTTTTTAATGGTCAACTTGACTTACCCAAAGTACAAAATGTAACAGCCAAGAGAACTTTGGCCTTTAATGGGTTAAGCAATGTATATTGATTCATTAGTTTATTTAATAGAGGTGTCAAAAAGTAAGTACCTCTAACTATAGAAACCCATGTGTAAAGAGAGCCCAGCACAAAGGCTTTATGTCACTGCTATTTTTAGTAAGCTGTCTCGAGAATGATAAGTATGTTCAGTATGACTAGGACGTTTCATGCTTGCAGTTGTAGGCTATTTACCTTCACTTGGTTGAAGGAGAACAGTAGACAGATTGCTGTATTCCTAAGTGTGACAATACTAGCCAAGGATAGCAAAATGGAAAGAAAGAGAGAGAAAAAAGTCAAGAAGGGCTCCTTTCCGACATGAACGACAGAACTGAGAAACCACTTTTACGTCCTCATATTCTCAGGCAATGTTTCCCACTTGCTTGTGAGCTTGATTACCTGTCAATGCTTATTTGGTGCCTGTCTACCATAAACTACGACCTTTAAATAGCACAGAACCCTGTAAGACATGCCAATAGTTCTGGGCATAGACTGGCCATTTGAAACTAAAACATTGTTTGATGGATGCTTTCATGTACAAATGCACACCAAGCGATTATGTAAACTCTAGATTCCAGTAGTAAGATCCATTAGCTGAATTCCCTAGACCACCTAAAGTACTGCATTGTGTCACTCAGCTAAAAGACAGTAAAGTCAATGGGGGATACAATCCAGGAAAACCAGCCAATGGATTTCATTGCTGGATTTCCAGAGATGCGCCAGCCAGTGGTCTGTGCATTTACAAGACTACATTTCTGGAGAAAAAAAAGAAATGCAAGTTTTGGCTTGACTTACTCTGACCTGGAGTGACATTCAAAATTAACAAATAGTGGGTGAAGTTCCCTAAATTTAAACTATTAAAAAATAAACATTTAGAGAATATGTATTGTATATATTCTGTTCAGTAGTTTTAAAATACAGCTAAGGGCTCCTGTATGGTTGTCTAAACAAGTACCAAATCCAGTTAGATGATGTGCAAGACTTATAAAGTATTCAAAACACTTCCTTTACCTTTCCTGATTGAGCCATATCCTTTTTTTCATTTGTGTCTCACATGCTCCCCCTCCCAGGCGCTGACGCTCACAGTGGGAGAGCCTCAGCAGCAAAGGTAGCGCTGTTGATCAAGAAAGCAGTGGGCAGGACTAGGTGTGACCAGGTTTTGATTGACAAGCTACAAGCTTGTCAATCAGCAGTGACCATGCTAATAGCCCTACCCCCTGCAACATTGTTTCATCTTACTGTAGTGTCAACTCTGATCTGAATTCAGGAGCCCTGCAGCATTGTTACCATAACATCACAGGAAACTGCATTCACTGGCAGGCTCAATGGGTATTTGAGGGATTTTGCAGGGTGGCAAAGAGATAACTATAAGTGTATTTGCACTTACAATTAAGTGTAGTAGCTCATATTCATTTCATGGGAGGTCATAGTTCTACTTAACCACTTTATGTACATGGGCCGGATGGGAGCAGTGCAGGAGCGGGTGGCCGTTTATAAACATCCTTCCGCATTCCCTGCCTGTGCGTGCTCCCTGGGAACCGCGCTGCACGGGACCTCTGTGTGCGGTCCTGATCATGTGATCTCTGATTGACCAATCAGTGATCACATAAATAGTAGTAAGCAAGATGTCATTTCTGACATGACTGCTTACTACATGTGAAATCTGTGAATGATCAAAGAGGTCACATTGTACAAGGCTATTCACAACAGCCTTGTACCATGTGACAAGCTGTGACCAATCACAGCTCTCACAGTATTTATCAATGGCTACAAGAATGCAGCTAGAGAGAAGGAGAAATTATTGCTTTTACAGCCTTTATGGGTGTAAAAGCAATCAGTGTAAAAAAAAAAAAAAAAAAAAATCTTCATCACCCCCCACAAGTAGTGTCACTGCTGTGACATTATGTTAAAATAAAAAAAATAAATAATAATATATTAAAAAAAATGTAAAAAACATTTTTTTGAAGAATTATAATTTTTGATTAGAAATTAATTTGGGTTGTTTTTTTTTTACAAAATTATTAAATTACAAAGATTATTTACAAAATTTTATAAGAAAAACACTTTTTTTTCAAAATGTTTGAATATATCATTTCTATAGCAAAAAAATTAAAATCCCAGTGGTGAATACATACCACCAAAATAAAGTTTTATCTGTCTCAAAAAAATGCTAAAAAATTCATATGGGTACAGCGTTGCATGACCGCGCAATTGTCATTCAAAGTGTGATAGCGCTGAAAGCTGAAAATTGCCCTGGACAGGAAGGGGGTGAAAGTGTCCGGACTTGAAGTGGTTAAATGATAGGTTCACTTACAAAAAAAGAAATAATAAATGCACATTTTTTGCAGGTAAAAAAAAATGTGCATTTACTATTTTTTTTTGTAGGAGCCTGGAAAGCATTGCACCTGCGATCTTCAGATCATGGGCGCCATGTGGGACTCTTACAGATTGTTAGTGTAAGATGCCTGCCCGTACATCGTACAACCGCTTAACAGTGCTCTGGTAGTTCATTGAGAACTTCAAGAGGCAAAGGCTGCCAGTAGTTGTAGTTTCCCATTCACATTGACTCCGTCCGGGCTGGCTCTTTTTTTTTTTTAAATTGTGACAGCAAGTGGGGGGAGAAGATCCCCGCTCACTGTCAAACCGAGGCGGTTGGAGGGGTGCGGGGTCAATGCTACAGCAACATGCTACTCCCTGAATATGGGTGCAACATGTAACATGTTATGACAGGTGACCTTATCATTTAAAGGAAATCTGTACTGAGAAAAATTGAAGCTACAACAGCCGACCCCTTATTCTAAAATATTAGTTACCTGGTTTCATGCTGATTCAATGGCTTTAGTATTTTCTAAGTACCTGACCTAGAACAAGTATGCAGATAAGGAGCTCTGACTACATTCTGATTTTAATGATTTGTTTGCTTGTTCCACGTCAGGGGCTCAAATTATAGATGCCAGAGACAGTCAGGCAACTAGCATTTTTAGGAGGAGGTCTAGCATTCTTAGAAGGAAAAATTGTAATATGTGCTACCAAGTAATAAAATAGAGCTTTTACCTTCACAGCAGCAGTCACAGCAGCATTAGCAGCTAGATTCAAGCCTTGCTTGCCAAAGTTCACCATGGTTTCATAGCCCTTTTCTTTGGCCTGTACGATGTATTCATCAATTTCCTGTGCAGGGAACAGAGAGCAGCTGCTGGTACTCGTGCAATTATTAAAATATATGACTCTAGCTACAACATCAAGCAAGAAGCGGCAAACCTTTACCCGCACACAGATGCCACCAGGTTTCTCACTCTTTATTCAGCTGAGAAATCTCTACATGTATAAAATCATTTTTCTAAGGAAGTTAAATGCTCCAAGGCATTTAACTTGTTTTAGCTCAAAATGGATCTTCACGCTTTTTACTTCATTGGCCGACATCATATGCTATTAGGAATGACTTCAATATTCTATACTTGACCTTCTTGTGAAATACAGATTACATTCGCACAAGCAAAATTAGTAACAAGATTTGACATGAAATGACAATGTGTGTTAAAGCGGAAGTAAACCCATTGATTTAACCATTTCCAAAAAAAGTTACATTTAAGGCCTGCCATGAATGACAGCTGTCACATTTGCATATTTCCTCAACCGAACTGTGAAGCCATCCAATGGCTGGTGTCATAACTGATCACATGTGCAGCATCATGGCAACTGCAGATGAAACAGAGACTAAGATGGCAGCCTCCTTGACTGTAAAGTATTGGAGGGTTTAGTTCTGCTTTAATAAAGAAAAAATAACTCAATAAGGTGATGCAAAAAATAATGGTTTGGATAAAGTAAGGGGGGCCACAGACATGTGATGACGATCAGGCAAAGCTGCTCTTCAAAACCGGGCACACATACATGACAGCTTAGCTTGGGCAAATGCCATAGTTGTGGCTACAAAGATGCGGGGGGAAGCTGGGAGAGGAACAACAACTAGATAGCTAACCTGTCCAGTGAATACTTTTTTCTGGGAAATATAATGTGCAGCTTTCACAGGCTTGACAGGCTTGAGGACACCAGGTTTATAGATAACTTAGAAAAAAAAATGAATGTTGTATGTAATTATTCTTACCGCAGTGGCATCTGTATCTAGATCCAAAAACATCAAACCTGGGCTCTCAGCACTGAAAATGGTTTCTGCATACTTCTGGTCCTTGGACATAGTTTGAAGAGCAGTACTTGTGCCTCAGAGACTTCTACAAAGGGAGTACTTCGACTCAAACAATGTGCCAAGAGTTTTGAATGCTTTCAATCTAAAGACAGATGCAAAGAGCAAATCTGGCCATATGCTTTTTTTTCTTTCAGCCAACATATTTCTCTATCCAAACACAAACAAAATGGATGGAGAAATCCCCCCCCCCCCCCCCCACCAGGATATTGTATTCTGACAGCGGCAACCGCTGCTGTTATATATGAGATTGACCAGTGGCTACAGCTGATTGAGTGCAGCACTGATCAAGGACATTTTTCCAACAGTCCCTTTGACAGAAGTCAATCAAAGGATAAAAACTTTTAACTTACAAAAAAATGGTAACACTATACGAAAGTAACAAAATTAGTAATACCTAAACGCTTATGTGTGTTATTCTATAAAATGAAATAGGCAAAATTAATATGACACGGAAACATACTGGGGTTGATTTACTAAAACTGGAGAGTGCAAAATCAATTAAGTTAGAGAAAAGGTTCTGGAGAGTGCAAAATCAATGAAGTTAGAGAAAAGGTTCTGGAGAGTGCAAAATCAATGAAATTAGAGAAAAGGTTCTAGAGAGTGCAAAATCAATGTAGTTAGAGAAAAGGTTCTGGAGAGTGCAAAATCAATGAAGTTAGAGAAAAGGTTCTGGAGAGTGCAAAATCAATGTAGTTAGAGAAAAGGTTCTGGAGAGTGCAAAATCAATGAAATTAGAGAAAAGGTTCTAGAGAGTGCAAAATCAAATGAAGTTAGAGAAAAGGTTCTGGAGAGTGCAAAATCAATGAAGTTAGAGAAAAGGTTCTGGAGAGTGCAAAATCAATGAAGTTAGAGAAAAGGTTCTGGAGAGTGCAAAATCAATGAAGTTAGAGAAAAGGTTCTGGAGAGTGCAAAATCAATGAAGTTAGAGAAAAGGTTCTACTGTTAGAGCGGTAAGGATGTGGAACTCCCTTCCACAAGAATAAACCCTGTTACAATAAATTTAGTTGTGATTGATGGCTATGGGATAACTTTTTGCTTCAAACTACATAAGGACTGCACTTTATCCTACTGGCATTTTTTCAGTAGGGATAAGATAATTGTACAAACGCGTATCACCCATAGCAACCACTGCGCCTACAGAAACTCATTGCAGTGCTAAATTTCATTCTTCTTTTCTGTTACCTTCATGTAACTTCTATGCACTATGCCACATTATGACGCATTGAATTAAAATGATGTCTGCATCCTGTTACCACAGTTCACACCAACAAAGTGCAATGGTGTGAACAGACCCTATAGAAAGAAAGGCTTTTTTCCTTGTCTTTACATTGAGGCTGTGTAAGGCAATTCTACCCAACAGAACTGGTTGGAATCATCCCTAACTGGTTGTGACGTACTGAAACAATGCTATACTTTGGTAATAAACATAATGAGGAGGGGAGTAGGGGACACTGTTCATGGCCCTTCAAATACTGAACGATGTAGTATATGTCTCTAGTTTAATGTTTAATGCTCCTATCTAACCTCCTGAAATTTACCATATACAAAGCAGGTTGAGCTGATTATCATGGAAGGTGAAGCTTAGCCTTGTGGTCACATTAAGTTTTATGAAAGCAGTAGTGCGGGAAAGTAGCGAAATAAAGTGTCTGCATGTGAACACACTTACCTTGTACAGTGTTATGGGATGTCCTTGTTATGTATATCATGACCAGCTCCTGCAGTTAACAGCTTGAGCCAACCCCTGCATCACTTTCCCTAATGGTTTATAGCTATTGTGGGTAGCCTGATGGGCCAATAGCGTGATGGGATGGGGCAGGTCTGAGCTCTTGGTCAGAGGAGATGGTCAAGCTTTGCATGACAAGAGCACCCTGGGATTAGGGGGCACATGGTGCAGGAGTTCAATACTCTACATTTCAGCTATATTTTATTTTTTTTGAAAACTACAGGTGCACACCAATAAGGAACTAACAGTCTTTCTAAAAATTGTACACCTTCAATAACTTACCCTTTCTTTTGAAGAAAGCAGAGGGTGCAAAAACTTCCTATACAACAAGCTGGCCCCTCTAGTATAAGGGGATAATAACCATATAACAAAAGCAATCTTCAGCTCATAATACAAAGGGAACCTATAAAAAAAAAGAACAGAAAGCGTAATATAGCGCATGTATTCCCATATAATGTACAACAGCTCCATAAACCAAACAGAAAATAAAACATACACATGGTGAGAAATAAAAAGTGCCCATGATTGATATAAAGACTAAATCTGTGATTATCTGCAGCACTGTTCAGTGTCTGGTTCTAGAACTAGCAAGTAGCACAGGGTCAACTGAGGATAGGGAGACAAGAAAAAAAGAGCAATAAAAAGAGAAGCTGTAAAAGTGAACTGTATTATATATGTGTGCGATTTGATGGGTTTGTTAGAGGCACAGCACTATATATTTATATGTAGCATGCCTGGTGACCCCATCTGCCTATTTCAATAAAGACATACCGTACTCCCATACTTTCATAGTTGGTTAGGTTGAATAAAGCCACCAGTCCATCCAGTTCAACCTGTGTAGGTGTGTGTATATCTATGTATCTACCACTTCCTATATCCTTGTGTATTGTAACCACCAATTGTGAAAGAGAGTTCCACATTCTTACTGCTCTAACAGTAAAGAACCCCTTTAAAGTTCCTAATCTCTACACTTTTACATATGTGCAACAGGTGGCACACACATAGTGAGTGTGTGTATATACATTTACATACACGCACACATACATACAAAGTTGTTCTCATTAGTTTACAAACTGTGTAAAATGTTTCCAATTTGTGCTGTACCAATGCTACAAAACAGCCTACTTACAGTATCCCAAACAGCACCTTGAGAAGACTCAAAATTTCTGAAACAAAATTATTTGTAATGAAACCAAAATTGAACTGTACGGTCATAGCCATAAACAATATGTGAGAAGTCAACACGTTCTGTGAAGAGAAATATAATATCTCTATCATGAAGCATGGAGGGGCATCACTTCAGTTTTGGAAGGTGGGGGAGGGGGTGGAGGGTAAGCTATAGAAAGCTATAGCAGCACAGGGGATTTAGACAAAAGGAATGGTAAGAGATGAATGCAACCTACTATAAGAAAATACCTGAGGAAAAATGTACATTCATCAGCCAGGACGTTGTACATGGGATGCATTTGGACTAGTCAATATTAGAATGATCAGGCCAAATCAACCCTTCAGTAAGTGTAGCAAGAAAAGTGAGGGTTTTGGTGTGACTATCGTGATTTCCTCACCTCAACATCATTGACCAACTTTGGAGAGATCTCAAACATGCAGTTCATGCTAGACAATCAAAGAATTTACACAACCTGAAGGATCTTTGCCAAAAAGAACGGGCAGCTTTACCACATGAGAAAATAAAGGGACTTATTCATATCTATCACAAAAGACTACAAGCCATCATTATTGCTAAACTGGGTAATACATTATATTAATAACTAAGAGCAGGCAAACCTTTGAACAGGACTGATATTTTGTTGCCCCTAATAGCTTTATTTGAATAACATTAAAAATAAAAAATATGCCTGTTTGATCACTCATGTTTTCTTAAAAAATGGTTCACATTTTACAAATTCTGCCAGGAATATGTAAACCTATGAGCACAAAATGTATACACACACTGGGGGAGATTTACTAAAACTGGAGCATGCAAAATATGTGCATAGAAACCAATCAGCTTCCAGGTTTTATTGTCAAAGCTTAATGTAACAAGCTGAAGTTAGAAGCAGATTGGCTACCATGCACAATGTATAGCATTTTTCTATCTAGTGTACACTGCCTTCAGCACATACACAATGTATACCCCAGCTCATTCTTAGCACAAGTAACATGCTTGGAGTGCAGTCAGGTACTGGGGATGATGCAACTCCTGTGCACATGGGCATGCAGTTACATCTTCAATGGCAGACACAGAATACATCGGACCCAGTAGCCAGCAGTAGTGATGGAGTCATGAGGGGGACCGTGGACACTGCATCGCAGGAGGAGGGCACACTAGAAGGTAAATGGCCCCAATGTAAAAGTGTGCTGTACACGTTATGGCAATAGCCCGTCTACCCACCATAAACTGGTTAACTTCCACTTTAAGTCAAGATCAATGCACCCTGTAACATCAAAATCTGATAATCCCCCTATGGACTTAGGAAATCAGCTTGAGCACATTGAGGGTTTTATTTACTAAAAGTGGAGAGTGCAAAATCTGGTGCAGCTGATTAAACTTTGAAAGAAAAACTGGAAGCTGATTGGTTTCTACGCAGAGCTGCACCAGATTTATCACTCTCTAGTTTTAGATCAACCCCTTAGTATTTATATAGTACCAACAATTTATGCAGCGCTTTAAATCTTGCCCATGCCCTCAAAAAGCCTACAATCTAAGGTTCCTACCTTACATGCATACATACAAATACTAGGGCCAATTTAGACAGGAGCCAAATAACCTACAAGCATGTGTTTGGGTTATGGGAAGAAGCCATAGTACCTGGAGGAAACCCACACAAGCACAGGAAGAACATGCAAACTCCATGCAAGTCGTGTCCTGCTTGGAACTTTAGCCAAGGACCCCAGTGCCACAAGGCAGGCGTGCCAACCACTAAGCCACTGTGGTTTCAGCAAATGATAGCAGTTGTGGTCATAAGATAGTTCTGCATAGTGCTGTAACTGCACTATGCAGTTAGTGAACTGATACTGATCACATCACTGATGTAATGCACGTGCAAGGGATTAAAGGTATGGAATCCTGCAGTTGAATGGGTCACGTTTAGCACGTTGTAGTGCCCGCCAAACACAATGGGGAGATAATTTTTGCTGTGCCATGTATACGCTCCTGTCTGCTGCAGTTGGGAGGCAGTAAAACTGTGCCTCAACCACATGTTTTTACATCCACCTAACTGCAAGTGTAAATGAGGTCTTAAACAGCCATGCAATTATCTGTCACAAGGCAGTCTAATGATTTAGACTGATATCGAAGCCAGTCCATGCTTAGAGGTAACACTTGCATATGAAGAGGTCAGATATGTGTGTGTGGTTGATGTAACTGATAGCTATGGGGTGTCTCAACAGGAAAAGAGGTATGGTGTATGAGGTCCTGATTAAACTAGAGTCTCAAAGCACAGATGACTGTAAAAAGAGGGGAGAAAAGAGAGCATGAAAAGCTCTAAGAACAAGAGGAGGGGGCAGGGGGTTAGTGAAGTTGCAGGTGCTGTTTTAAAATTCCACTGAGAAAGAAGAGCTGCTGTCTGCATTGTATAATTATACAGTTTCTACTCTAACCCGGGGGTCCCAGGGGCTACATATTATAGCAAAGGCACGCAAGTTACACATACGGTAAGAGTTTATTTTCACAGTTTCTGTATTTCTGAAAATAGTCACTCTGATCTCCTGAACATCTTTAGATGCATGCAATATTTTAGCGTTTGCACACAAAAACCTTCCTGTACTTTCAAATGTCAATTAACAGTTCTGTGTAAACTTTCCTACAGACATTAATGATCTAGCCACCAGATCGCTCATGGTACAATAGTCAGGTTATTGATCTTTTTTGTGCGCTGTACGACCATTTGTATTCTCATTGGGTGAACATATTTGTTACCTTGGACAGAGAAGTGCACATTTCCAGCTATGACTATAAACAGCCAGGTCAACTGAACATTCTCTAATGACTGTCAGACCTTAAAGTGGCCGTAAAGGCTCAAAAAACAAGGTAAAAGCGAGCGCTATAAGTCAGAAGAGCAGCAAATGCACCAAAGGATACCAAAAAACCTTTCAGAACATAAATATATATATAGGGTGCGGCGCTCCAGCAATAATCAATGTATCAAAAGGTATAGATGAGAATAATATAAAATACATAAAGTGACTTGTGACAAGGTGCCAACATATAAAGTGACTTTAGTGATATCATGTATTCCGTCACAGCAAAAGTGACTCGCGGTGAACAATAATAATGGAATGAATAGTCCTAATGTGAATATGAGAGATCAGGATATCTCCAGCGATAGGTTCTCCGATCAAACCAAATATTGAGGTGACCGGTATATATGATAAGGCTGTGCACTCACCAGATGCACAGTTGCTCTGCGCATGTAGAGACAATGCTCATGTAGGGCACACTCCAGGCTCCCGTTATCAATCTGGTCTGGTCAGGAGGACATATTGCTGATGTTTGTTAATGGACGGCATCAACATCAATCTCTTGCCTGCTCCAGCTATCTAGCAGAAGAGCCTTATTGAGGAGGAAGTGAGGCCACTTTACCAGCTGAGGAGACCAGTGAGGGGAGTACCTGACCAGACCAGATTAATAACAGGAGCCTGGAGTGTTCCCTACATGAGCATTGTCTCTACATTGGACTATTCATTCCATTATTATTGTTCACCGCGAGTCACTTTTGCTGTGACGGAATACATGATATCACTAAAGTCACTTTATATGTTGGCACCCTTGTCACAAGTCACTTTATGTATTTTATGTATTTTATATTATTCTCATCTATACCTTTTGATACATTGATTATTGCTGCAGCACCCCACCCTATATATATTTATGTTCTGAAAGGCTGTAAAGGCTGAAGGTTTATAGAATGCATGAAGGTAAAAAACCTTCTGTGTGCTGCTCCCCCCTCAGCCCCCCTAATACTCACCCAAGCCCCCTATCGATCCAGCAATGTGCATGGGAGCCTCAACTGTCCCGGGTCTCTCTTTCCTCAATGGCTGAGACACAGCAGTGAGAGCCATTGGCTCCCACTGCTGTCAATCACAGCCAGTGAGAGAGCGAGGGGCAGGGCTGAGCCACAGCTCTATGTGTCTTAGGGACGCATAGAGTGGGGCTTGAAATTGAGCACACACCAGTGACCCCATAGCAAGTGGCTTGCTATTGGGGGCACTGGTCAAGCGGGAGAAGTCAAGAGCGCCAACTGTGGACCTGAGAAGAAGAGGATTGGGGCTGCTTTGTGCAAAACCATTGCACAGAGCAGGTAAGTATGACGTTATTTTAAAAAAAAAAAAAAGCGGAACCTTTATTATTACTTTAAAAATAACCTACTGGCAAGTTTGTCTTCATATTCAAAGCTGGAATGACTCCTAATATGAACTCCTAAACCAGATAACTTAAAGCA